CAAATCGCTCAAAAAGCAAAATCAAGAACCGCCTGGGTGGCCACAACTCCCGCCCCCGGCTGTTCGTGTGGTTGTGTAGTTGTTGCTGAATGATTTAGAAGGATTGACACATATTGACCATGGGAACGGAGGCTATCACCTTGCACATGGGCTGATGACAGCTGACTCCCAAAGTTCCCAAAACCGGCAACAAAGAGACGAGCTGGCTTCCTGCAGGTCTAGGAACCAACACCCAAACACCTTGCAACGAGAGTGGATCTTCATCTTCCCGGATACCTGGATCTTGACACCAAAATAGTGTTCACACAGCCTGTCACGGCTTCGACGTTGCTATCTACTTGAACCTCGAAATTTCTCAAGTCATAGCATAAGAGGCTGCCAGGACCTTCAAAAATGATCAGGCCACTTACAAAATATGACACTGCACAATAAGCACATCTAAATTACTACAACAATTGACAATAACAACAAGTTATACTATAAACACATCGTAGCCGTTCGACCATTTGGAGGACGGAGTTGCGGAAGGATGGAGTCAAAATGCTCTGCGCCCGCAGCTCTCTCTCCTTCAAAGTGGTGAACACATGTTCAGCGTTTCACTGTGCATCACTCGTCTCCGCTGCGACTCAGCATGTCCAAGTGACCATGTCAGTTCCAGTAAGATCCGCCTTTGCAGGAGATGACATCTGATCAGATCAATATCTGTCCGGTCTCGTCAAGAAGCAAAAACGACATTTCTGGTCAAATCTGTCTGATCTCATCAAATCATGATCAAATCAGGTCTTTCTCCAGTTCATTTCTCAGCCAAATCCACGTGGAACGTCAACCAGCCGGGCGCCTTGTCCTTCTCCTTCTCTCTCTTGGGCTTGCTCACCGGCGCTCGGAAGTGCAGCACGCTCAGCCTCTGCGTCGAAGAGCCGTCGACTGAAGGGTCGAAGAGACGTCTGAAGCTGAGGACGCTCCCCCCGGCTTCGTGGTGTTTTTTTGGGGTGAGGTGGTAATATGGACACATGCAGGGGGATTGTGATATATTTCGATTGGGGCGTCCTCAGTCTGGTGTGTCTAGGGTCGTCTTTTTTTAACGTTCGGTCGTTCGGTCGATTTGTCATCGAGCCCATGACTCCAGGGCTTAACGTGTCTTTCTCCATTCAGGAATCCGCTGTCAGTCACTGCTTGACGTCCACAGTTCATCAGCACATCGGCCCCGCCCGCGTCTATCTCATCTCCATCTCCGCGCGTTTCTCCCGCCCCTAGCGTACGGCGCCCTTTCGTGAGACCCCCTTTTCTTGGATTTGCAATTAAATTAGGGGTCCGAAGAAAACATATGCATAAACATTATAGGTCTAGAACCTCATTAGGCAACAAATTCCCCAACTTCACCTAGGCAAAAAGTCTGCCCGTTTTCACAAAGAACGCCTAAGCTGCAGCCTCGAGGATCAAAAGGGCCGAGGCACAATCACATGCATTCTTACATGCAGGAGGCAAAACCATAATCTGAATGAACAAGTCTTTTGAGAAGGCAACCTGACGCTAGGGCCCGGTCTGATATAAAGTGCTTGAAACTCATGCCACTTGCTCTCCCCAGAAAGGCTACCATTCCTTTGTCGACCCAACTACTGATTGTTGTGAGGGGGGAACGGGTAAGAACGCCCAAGTTGCGGGCAGGAACGCCTAAGTAACGGGTAAGAAAGCCTAAGTGACGGGAAGAATGCCTACCCAAAAACATACTAAAGCAAAGCATAGAAACATATAGAAACACTAAACGCATGCAGAAGTGAAACATCAAGTGCAAGAATTCTTGATAAACAAGTGTCCTGTATCTTTATATGTTTCCTGGAGCCAGTGGTGGGTAGATCCCTAACAATTTGAGCCGCCACCCAAAGGACAAGAACGCCTAGCAAAACCAAGAACGCCTACACGGGGCAAGAATGCCTAAGCACGGACAAAGGCGCCTTTACCCATAATAGGCAGAACTTTCTCCCAAAAGAAGTTCTAGGTTATTCCCCGAAGGGGGTTCATCCATAGAGACAAAAACTGATCCCAAGCTAAACTATGCATTCGTCCAAGAAGCTCCTCCCAGTCATCCCCCAGGCGCTTCACCACCTCTTTCAGGCTCTCCTTCGCGCGTGAGGCCACCTTGGTCTCGGCATCCTCATGGTCGTTCTCGTCCGACTCGTAGCCTTGGTCACGTGGGCGTGGAGAAGGCCGTCACGTGGGCGTGGAGAGGGTGGTGGGGGAAGATGTTGACAGTGAAGTGAAGTGAGAATTGAGGATTGGGATACGTAACATGGGGGATGACTTAGTCATCCCCCATAGGAGGTGATCGACGAGGTTTCAGAATTCTAGAGCCAAACACAAAAACCACCTGTGGTCGGGCCCCCAAACACCGTGAGCCCCTTCTGGGCCTTATACACAGACCCGGCTCTTGATTAATCTCAATCCCCGATATGAAGAGGCTTTACAATCTTGCTGCCGGTGCGACCAGCGGTGTGCACGGTGGCGTCTTACTCATCCCACAAGGGGACTTGTTCGTGGATGGGAAGGCGAGTGGGGTAGAAGAGGCTTTACAATCCAATTGGAGACAGCAAGAGTGTGCACATCCTCTGCCGGCCCCTCTTGGTATCCTTGAGGGCAAGTGGCCGGGCACGTGAGGCCACAAGTCGGCGTCCGGCGGCTGCATCAGCCGCGCATCTTTGGCCGACGGGCTCTGTTGGCCGCGCGTCCCGGGCTCCGACCGCGCGGACGAGAGCGACTGTGAGCCAAGCAGAGGGAGGGGACGGACAGCCAGCATGCCAAATCTGCTCCAGGTCTGCGCATGCCGAACTGCATTTGAGAAGAAGGATCCCCCCAAAAAACGAAGGTCCTGAATTGAACTGTTGGCAGCTATCAATCTGAAAGCCGTGAAGATGGAAAGTTCGTGGCAAGTCCAACTCTGTACACCAGAATGAAACAAGTTCCCTCCCCACTGCCCACTCCCCCTCCCACCGCTACGTCCAGCTACCTGGCCAGCTGGGTCAAAAAAAACTATATTTAACTATAACTATCGATTCCAAAATACAAGAAACGATTGATTCTATATGATTAGTCCGTTCCAACCAATTAAGATCCATGAGCCGCATGATCTCCATTCATCTGCCCACACGACGACGACGTGGAGAATGATCTTCTAGAGATCACTGGTGACGACGTCTCTCGCCGGGTGCTTTTGGGCCACCGCACGGACTCGAGTCGCTTGGTCGTTTCCTTTCTCTTCACCTCCGTCTCCATGAGTTGCCGCCTGGAGACCTCGAGGACGCTACCAGCTCCGGGAGGTACCGGTGATTACCGGTGTGTTCCGGCAGGTGTCCGGGTGTCCGGTTGTCCGGGCGTTCCCGGAAGGGATGGAGACGAACGACAAGGGCGTGCTTAGGGAAGATAGTAGGGAAGTGGGTGGAGCTGGGGAAGTGGGCTGGGGCCCGCTCTGAAAAAGGATCGACTGACTGGCGAAAAAGGAAGTCCTGTCGACAAAGCCATGGTGAAAACAAGTCAACTACATTGACCCTCTGGTTGATACACAGGTCTGAGCACGCGGGTTGGAAAGATGGAAGGTCAAGGAACAATATGGGGTAAATCAATATAGTGACTGTCATGCTGTGCCCCACTGCAGCAAGTGGCAAACCAGGAACCAACTCGAACTCATTTCCGCACAACTGCGTAATATATGTATACTATAAAAAAGTTTCTCTCTCTCTCTATATATATAGTACAGATAGTACAGTATGATACAGTATCCTTTTGGGCCTTAGGCGCCCCGGTACGCAAAATGTAAAACGTAAGGTTCCGCACGTGCAATCCAAAACGCACAGCCCCCTCGCAAAATCTAGGCCCCATCCAGAGACCTATGCCTAGATCTTCAGTCCGGCACTTTTACAGCGTCCGGCGCCGGACTTCCAACTCAGGCATTTTTCTGGATTTGGTCCCGCAGTTTTTCCAAGTCACTTTGTGTGGATTCTCAAGGCTTTGCATTCTTTGTGGTCCGCATTTCTTTGAAGGTAAATCCACTACTGATGCAATGATTTTGCTTGCCAAGTGTGCTCATTTGCCTGTTCCGCTGTTTTCTCATTCCACCGGTTTCACTGCTGGATCAATCAAAACCCTTTTAGGTGATCTTCTAAATGAAGTCGGATGATATCGGTACAATGTGATGCACGTCTTGAAAGACTCAAGTGGGTGCACCTAAGCTGAAAGAACATAAAGACATTGTACTCCCATTGTTTCAGGATGTCGGGGCGCTGGGATATAGTTCTAGCTGCGCAGGTTTGCAAAGCCTGCCGGACAAGTTTTGGGCTGTGGAACATGTGTTGTTCAGAATCTCAATGTTTTGCAAAGAGTTGCTGAAAAATCTTAAAAAGGGCGCGTCGTAACTCCGGCGTAATTTCCCGCAACTCCGGTGTAATTTTTGGACTCAGTTTTCTGGAGGTACTGAATGTTGAAGAGTTTTTCAAAGAAGAGTTTTGACTGGAACCATGAGTTCTGCCACTTTATTGGGGGGCCGTCCTGAGGCAAGCTAAACAAAAAGAAACATCATAAGAACCATGGAGAGCAACCCACTTTGTAAAGGAACTTTAGAGACACAGTTGCAGAGAAAGAGGGGTTCCTTGCCCCATAGTCCTTCGTTTCTTCTTGGAAGTCTTTGCTTGGGCACACACGTGCTTATATGTTTGTGATGGTTCTGCTCTTAGGCCATTCGGAAAATCGGAAAATGGGCGAGGGCAATGGGAACGGGAAGGGTCCAGTGTTGGGTTGTGGAATGAATGTGTTCCAGAAACACTACTCGTGGCAGTTTATGGCAGTTTGCTTGTGTATGATCCAACCTTTTATCATGTCTCTCTGTTTTTCAGAATGGATCCGGATGCTTTTTTCAGGTCCCCGGCGTTTTTTCGGGCAAAATGGCGGACCATTTTGCCGGATTGAGAGGTCCGGCACATGTTTTCCGCCCAAAGGAGGATCTAGGTATGGATTTATATAACATTTACTGTCCGCAGCTAAATGCAGCTAAATGCATCTGTGTTGCCTGGAGGTCCACTTTGCAGGAATTGGTTTCGTCTTTTGAACAAAATAAACATATGGGCCAGGAGTCACAAAGGGGTGGTGTTTAGTTGCCAAGTGAGTGGATCATGGGCACCCCTAACCTCCATTAAGCACCCCTTTGTGACTGCTGGGGGTCTTAGTTACTTGTTGGGTGCCGTGTGTCCAAGCTATTGGGGTGCTGGTACAGCGTTTGAGACATGGCTCGCCGAGACATGCAGACGTGAGACGTTTCGTCGTGTCCGATGGCTTTCGTCTTTCTGCATGAGGAAGTTGCAAATTCATCTGAAAACGTGGGAAGGTACGGCACGAAACGTGAGTTTTCAATACGCAAGGTTCGAGCGCACAGAAACGATGCAAAACGTACGTAGTAAGTAACCAGGCAGCTGAGTTTTGGGCGTGTCATGGCGTGTCTATCCAAGCCTTGGCCGTGAATCGTGATCTTTCTGGCCCCTCGATAGCTCGATCTGTTAATGAGTGAATCCCCCTGTTCACCGCCCAGAGTTGGCGGCTTCTGGCCCCAAAAATACCGAGAGCCTCGTAGATAATCCATCTTCCTCGTCCTTCTCCACCGGTCCCCACATGGGGTGTGGGTCAAAAGCCCTGCCAACAAACCCTGGCAGCTTGAGGAGAGGTGATCCCGCAGTCTCCATCCACACGTCTGACGTCCGCCTCCAGCCCAGCATGCGCTTTCGCCAGGTTGTTGCGAGTTTGATCCTGACATCGTGAAGCCAATGAGCCAAACACGGGTGTTTTCACGGGCAAAGGCAGCTGTTGCGCATGAAAGGGATTCACCCCAAAGTCCCAAAACATTTCCTAGACCTCCCATCTTGGCTTCCTGAGTCTGGTCTAGGCAAACATGTTAATTATCCCAGCACCTGCGTCAAATGACCACGAGCTGGAATTCATGGCGAGTTGGTTGCTGTGAAATCACCATCTGGTTGGTGGTTTCAACTCGCTTGACAAATTTAGTCAAGTGGGTTCAATCATCCCATGTAAAGGTTGAAGATAAACATATACCTGGACCTTCAAAGGGGTCACCAATGGAGATCCCTAGGTAGTCTAGGGGCTTCCATTGGTGACCCCTTTGAAGGTGCTGGTATAATCATATAATATATATATATATTTATTTCTGAAACCACCACCCAAAAAGGACTTCCAGCACAGCCACTCTGCGAGTTGGTTTGACATCATGCTCGGCTCAGAACTGTTTAACCAATCACTAGAGAATTCGTGAAACCAACGGATAAGTCAATGAACCTGAACCAGCAGTTCCGAGGGGATGGTTTTGAGTCCCTAAGTGACATATGTGAGTGGATAATGGACACCCTGACTTCCTCCAAGTTCGGCACCAAAGTCCATGGAACTCCTGGAAAAAAAACAACGGCAGCGTAAAACACCAAAACTATGTCGCACGTCATGCAGAATCTCGATTCTGTTGGACGTCGGTCGCAAGTCCACCGGGTGAGGCATGAGTCCACCGGGGTGAGGTGTGTGAAGCGAAGAATGTAAGTACTCTCACTGAGCCATGGAATCTTGTCATGCAATGGACATCTGCTGTCAGTGTCAGTGTACGATTATCGGTTCTAGTGGGTTCGGTGGATGAACTAATCCAAACACTAACACTTCAACAGTTCCAGGAGCAAACATATGAAATATGTGGTGTACCCTATAAGTAGTCAAGTTTCGGGACATGAGTTGTTCTTCCATTTTCTTCCCATGTTTGCGGGACTTAGTGCGACAAAAAAATGCGGGTGTGTATGGAAATAGATGGAAATAGGGAGATCCCCCAACCAATTTGGTTTTGGATGGTTTTGGTCTACGAGTCTACTTCTTCCACGTGGTCGGAACATGTCGGAACTAGAAAGCCTCCCTGTTGGACAAAGCGCACCGGCAAAGGCCGCATGAAACCACCCAGTTCGGATCGTGGCACATGAAAAATCCCTGGAGATGCTCAAGGAACCAGCAGTTCCATGGACATGGGGTGCCGGTTGTTTGAACGGAGGAAGGAAGGAGTTGGGTGCCCGAACCCTCCGTCACGTCACATCCACAACCCCTGGATGGGACGAACATTCAGTTAAAACCAGTATGGGTTTTCTCACAGGTTGAGGGCCTCCCAGTTCGGGCGCTAGGCATCCACACCAGTTCAGTCTCCAGTTGGATTCGCTTCAAGGCCTGGATCCGCCGAGTTGCGCGAGGCAGGCGGACTCCACGAAGACAGACCGGGGGTGATGGGGACAGAAGAGCCCTGGTGCTTCAGGGCTTTTCCTCACCACAGGAAACAAGTAGTCCTCAGGACGAGTGACATAAAGGGTGCTTCGCCCGAATTTCGAGCCACATTTCCCTGGAAGATCAAAGCTTTCACCGCCATACCTGCGTTTCTTCGTTGGGGGGTGTCACCAACGCCCAGCTGACGGTCTCCACCGATGGTGATCGCCCCGTCCCGGACGCAGCCCGTCTTTTCGCTCCACCGCGTTCGGTCGGCGTGTGGTTGGGTCCTGGCCGACGCGGCAAGAAGTGAACATGGCGGACCATGGCACCGGGGGACTGGGAGGGACCCGGAGGGACCCTGGTTGACCACTGTGAGAATGAACATCAACGACTGAGGCCCACCTAGGATGAGTTCCGGGCTCCAGGGGTTGATCCACAAGCAATTGGTGTGGAATCAGCCTCTTCTGGGGTACATGCCCGCGGGGCATCACTTGGTCAACATCCAAGAGGGTGGGTAGGTGAAAACGTGAAACAAATTGAGGGGGCTCCCCATGTGGCCACCCCCTCAAACAATCATGCTGGGAATACACAAAATGAGCTGTTGCCTTTTGCTCTCCCCATGTCAGCACGACATGGCGTTGTCCCAACCACTGCCATCCTGGCTACCCAAAGGGTCATGTCTATCATGTCGTTCTAGCTGGAACAGGGCTCAATCACCTGCCACCTCATGCATGAACTGTTGGGTCACTGTGGAGATGGGGGATTCAACCAGCACGGTACCAGCAAGACAGAGAGACCGGCAGCACCAAAACAAATCAAACAGCAGCAACCTGGACGTTCCAACCACGTCCGGTGGGTCGGACCGGACCTATGAGCGAGCGGCGACGACGGCTAGCCATGCATATAAGCCATAGCGTGTCACACGTGAGCGTTTCTGAACGAACATCATGGTTGACAGTCTCTTTGAGAACACCTCCAATATCCTCCAATATATCATATGAGGTAAGATCCTTCTGGTAGGCGGTTTGCTAATCAACAGTGACATGCCAAGTCCGTAGTCCGCTGGTTGGTCTTGAGTCTGTTCATCTCCCCGAAGCACGCAACCGCTGATGGTCTTTGCTCGGAAGGGTCTACGACTCTGCTCAGTGCCATCAGGAAGTCTGGCAACAAAGGTGTCCGCTCCGTAGGATCCCGGTTCTCTAGAAGTCCTAGCCTTCCAAGACCATCAAAAGAAGTTTGGTCTTGAATTTGTAGTCTTAAAGGGTGAGGGTATATAAAATTGGATCCTGAATACTAGAGTGGTTACACGGGTACAACATTCCCTCTTCCACCCCGGGGCCTCGAGCGATTGAGCCTGACCACTAGGATACGGGCAACTCCGCAGCGGCTTGGCAACTCGTTTCACGAGGCTAATGCATATTGCCTCGGAGGCATCCAACCAACCCAAAACAACCCGGGAAAAAAAAACGAACAAACAATTTCCCACAACCCTATCCACTTCCATGCTTTTACTGTACGAAAAAAAGCTATCTCGGACTAGATACTAGACTAGATATATATATATATACAATCAAACAATGCCTCCCGAAAAGGAGGCACTCCCTGAATCACTCCCCTTCAGTGCTTCAGCGACGTCGATGTGACATGTCTCATGTCTCTTCCTCTCACCCGAGCAGCGAGATGATCCCATCTGCGTGGCCCACGAAGATCCTGTTGGCGTCCTTGCGTCCCCGTCCGTGGGGGCGGAAACAGGCCACAAGAAGCGTTTCTGCCCGGGTCGCATGGTCGGCCTGCTTGATGGTTTTATGTTTGTTTTGTGGAGGTTGTTTTCCTTTGAGGTGAGCTTTCTGAGAGGGACTGTTCATTTCTTTAGGGCGCTCTTCGTGGGGTCGGGGTCTTCCAAGGAAACGCGGTCCCCTGGTTCTTCCTATGTTTTGGCAACTTGTGAGAAAAGAAACTTATATACACATGATTTTCTTGTACAACCTGAAGACTCTTGGCTCAATTCCCAATTGATCTACACAGAGTTTCGCCAAAGTATGGCCTCTGGCAAGTGAGCCGGCAGCCCCTCGTTGAGCCTTCGATCTGTACCCGGAACATGGGATCACATACTTTGTGTTTGAACATAATTATTATTGAATGTAGCATATACACTCCGACTCACTAACATGGAAGTGGAAAACCCACTGCTTGTAGATGAACAATAGTCTTCCAGAAGGCCATGTTCCACTTCCACTTCGATGTGTTCGTCAGAGTGTAGCTTGTTGTAGAACGTTGTAGAAACCACATCATGCAGCTCGGAACGTCAAAACGGAACTGGACATCCATCCGGACCTCCGGCACCACCGGCACCTCGGACCCGGCGTGGTCCCGAACGGCCTCGCGGTACTTCAAGCAGGTCGCCCAAGGGATTGCCTCCGGAGGGGAAGAACATGGGACATGGCCTCTCAATGAGGCAGGACATGCCGGTGCTGACTCCCAGGTTCCCAGGAAAATACGGTCATTTGCTATTCCCTAGGGCTCCAAGTACCTTCTAAGAAGGTGTTTGGGGTGGGTTTAGAGGGTCCAAATACCTTCTGAGAAGGCACTTGGAGCCTTAAGGATTATTTAGTTATTTGTTATACCATCTGTTGGCTTATGGTGGGGGAATCAAGCCCCCACAAAGGTGAGAGAGTATATAAAGGTTATCCACTGAGGTCGGGGAGCAAGCTGCCTTTTAGGAGGGTAATAGCCGGGCATCATCAAACTGATCAACCCGCTCGCTCCGACCCCCGCCAGCTAGCTGCTAAATCCCTTGATCGGGCGCCATTCCTCTGGGATGGACACCCTTTGACCCACGAAGGTGTCTCACTAATTACTTCTTACATATCCCAAACACTCCGTGTATGCCATATATGCCTACATTGACCCCCTAAACCACCCCAATGTAAGCATATGGCATACATGGAGTGTTTGGGTATGTTCCCATTTGCCACCCATGCCAATACGGCCAAAATGGCTACAATCATAAAACGTGCATTTGAATTCAATTGACTTTAAGCATTTTTCTTCTGAAAGACGTGTGCTAGTAAACAGGAACTTCTGACTCCACCATGTTTGATCATGTGAGGCTGCAGGTACGTACGGGATACATCGGGTGGGCTTTACCAGGACAACGCAAGACGTCTTGACTCAAGTCCCAAAATGGTGTTGAACTTCAACATCAAGTTTGACCATCCTCCCTACTTGTCACAGGCATTCATTCCTAAGCGTACTTACGAAGAAGAAGCCGCACATGGCCGAGTCAGATCCGATTGGACAGTGCAGCTTTCAATGTGCTGACGACACAGTGCAGCTTGACCTTGACTAACTCACGACCCTCCACAAATGAACATATATGTCTAACTTTCTGGATTTGATGATTTCATCAACCACAACGGCCATGACAACGCCGACCACAAATGAGTTGGGCATATCTCATTCCCGGTAATGGTGGGCGATGATGGTTGGTAAAGGCCTTTCTATGCCTTTCTGATCTTTCATTGACTGTTACAGGTGATAATATTTTATCGACTGTTACAGGATGTTACAGGTGATTATAGGACACACCCAACAAATGAGGAACATAGTAAGTACGGTGCCCCCCCCCGTGTCCCTTAAAACCTACGGTCTGACCGCCATGTTGTGTGCATATGCTGAGTATGTACTGACTTGATTCGAAGCATGGAAGGGAAGAACCATCTGATATTTGTGTATGTATACGTATATCATATCATAAAGAGATACCGTGACTGATACCGTGTATACAGCGTATACATGTGCTTCTGCAACTCTGAACTAGTTTAGAGAACATTGGACTTTTCGGCTTTGGACTTTTGGTTTGGGATAGGTGAAAGCAGGTTCAGCCGAAGACAAGGTACAAGAAGTTTCTTGCTAATGGGTATGCTGAACGAAGTAATCAATTTCAATACATATCAATACATGATTCACATGAGGCAAACCGAGAATCAATGCCCAAAGCTCTGCAGCCCAAATGGAGACTCACGTGTTAGTGAATGAAGCACGAACGGGGTGGTGAGACTGGCCGTGAGGCCGTGGCTCGAACCAAGCCTTCAAGCGCATCTAAGAGCATCTAAGTCAAGATAACTGTTAAAATCATTAAGCATCTACAAGCTGGCTTATCGTTTTCTCGTGGTCAGATACATAATTGCTGGTCAAAGCGTGCTCAAATCCACATATGGAATATTCATGGAATACTTATTATTTGACAGTTGGTGCTTCGACACAGAGGAGGGTGCATTTATACCGGTGACCCAAAACAAACATGTTTTAGGCGAGGTTCAGGGACAAATGGAGTGGAGACTGAGAGTCCACGATTGGAGTAGAATATGCGAGAATGTCAATACATACACCAGTTTCTTGTTCACTCTTGTTCTATGTTCGGGGTTATGCTGATACATGCAATGGGTTTTGCAACATCCTGCCTTGCAATTAATGTCTCACCAACGCATTTCAACGAGAACACCACAAAAACGGAGTAACTATCTCCTCCATCCAAGTTCTGGCCTGTAATATGCTGAATGGGGTTGATAATCACCGCACAAATGGTTGAAAAAAACGGTTGAAAACAAACAGTGCATATCATCAATCAAGAGCCTAGTGCAGTGATCAATTGATGAACACCTTCCGTCAGTTCTTTCGGCAAAGAATGTGTTTCGTGCCTCACCTTTTACGTTTGTCCACACTGTGCAAGTGGCACTTTCTCCAAGAACATTTCAAACATGGAAGGCTATTCTTTAAGACCATAGTCATAGGATATGGCACCCACTGTGCCAGCACTCTTCAATTAGTCTCAGCAGGTCTTCCCATGTTCACATCCCCTTCTTCGAACGCTAGTGACTGCTAGTGATTTGTGGTTCCAAGCGGGATAGAATCAAAATCATCAAATACCCCATTCCATGGGACTGGAGTCTTTATATTCATCCCTGAAACCAACCACCCCAATGTAGATATGCAGTCTTTCCCCACTGCGCAAAAGCGACAGGGCCCTTGACCCGCTGTGGGAATATATGAGAGTAACACATAGTAAAACACATGATGAATGGACCGGCCGCGGCCATGATTGTCGGCCCACATGTTTGTCGGGAAACTTCGCTACACCTCCACCCGAATCGATCCGGCTTTGAAGGCCTCGGGGAAGGGCTCGTGGGGACGGTCCACAAAGATCTGCTTCCTGGGCGCCCGACCGCGGATGTCTCGCCATCGTGCGGAGACGCGAAATGTAAGATCTGCGGTCACCAGATATGTCACAGGGTTGCAGGGTGCAAACCAAAGGTAAACCAAGATGGTCACCAGAAATAGTTTCAAGCATCTTCAGTGAGGCCTAGGCCTGTTGGGCTGTGCCACTACTGGACATGGACACTTGCTATATAGATACATACGCTCTTTGAATATATTTCAAGGTTACGCTGGTTTGGGGAATCCGGTCCTTGATGCGAAAATATGATGCAATTTCTAATCACTCCAAGTGGCTTCAATTCGAGATCATAGACCTGAGAACGTGCAAGTGATTCAGTGCCTATATCCCAAACCAACCATATGTATTTAACTACCTACATTGGGGTGGTCGGTTGATTTCAGGGTTGACTGTAGGTAAATACTCTAGTCCCATTGGTCGTGTCTGGGTTTAGAAAATGGGACGTGACATGACTGTATTTGTGCCACGTCTGGTGGATCCAAAAACACTGGTGGTGGGTCTGGATGGTCACTGTTCGATCAGCTGCCCCAGGGTCTTCATCGCGTGAATGTGAATGCCCAGCAACCTCGAAGGAGACGTCCGTCGCGACAGCCAAATGATAATGCGCGGGGCTGAAGTCCAGCGCATTCACCGTGCCTGCCGGAGGCAGGAACCCTCGGCCACGGGGAGACTTCGGAGACCCTAAAGACCTCGTGTGGTGGGCCGGTGGGTCGAGGGCAGAACTCGGAGACACTGGAAGCAACCTGGAAAATAGAGGTTCGCCATACCCAGACACTCCATGGGACTGCCATATTTATATACATTGACCCCTGAAACCACCCCAACTGATCGGCAGTCCTATGGCAGTCCCATGGAGTGTCTGGGATAGGTTCACCCTTTTCCACTTGTTCTATCTCCCTCACACCGAGTCTCGATGTGGTATCGTAGACACTTAGGTCTGACCGATACAAACCGCTGCACAAGACGAATGCACCTAATTAAGAAACACAAGCCGAAACATCAAAGGACCAGGTAGTAATCTTCTGGCTGCAACCATCTAAGAGTAACCGGCCGTAAGCCTCGAGCTCACGGGTCGAAAAGAGAGGGCGAGCACCATAAATCGATCCCTTCGGGATGGCACGCCCGCACTTATGAATGAGGGTGGACTCATGTCGACCCGGGAGAAGCCCTTGGTCAGGGCGGTGAAAAACAAAAGAACATGCTTTCTTGACCACCTTGAGGACTTCAGTGAAAGAAGTATTTGGTGGAGCCACGGATTCCAATGAAAATTGCCGGGTACAGAACAAAAAGGTCAGCTCTACATAGGCAACTGAATCTTCAGGAGTAACCCGCCATTTCAAAGATTGCAAAAAGGCAAGGATGGATGGCGCATCCCCATCACCAAGTTTGTCTCTGAGGCTGTTAGCAAGAGCATCAGAACAATGTGGCACCCTGCTCGTTTTCCACTTGTTCGTTTTTTGTGTAAACCCATCCCCCGAAAAAAAGGCGACCTGCAGGTTGTCCAGTTGTCCACAGACTTAGCCGCCACCGGCCGGTGGAATGCCAACAGTGGGCTTCGCCGCGGGGCTCCAGCGTCTTAGACGGCGTGCCTGGTCTAGAATCTAGCCAAACTGGGTCTAAACACTGAACCCACCAAATCCAATGAGCCTCTGAATTCGAGCCACCTAAGGCTCTAAGGGGTTTGGGGTCCTGGCAGTCCGTCCTTCAACGACTAACCCAGGACCATGTGAGGAGGACACGGACGACCCAAGGGAACAGCTTTCGGATGCTAAAGGGGATCCGGATGATAGGCCGATACCAGCAATAAGCATAGCTTGGGGGCCTTTTGGTCTCTTCGTGCACCTGCGGCGCCGAAATACATGCATGCATAGAAGACACCACAACGTACGAATTGCGCCCGACATGCGCCGACTACAACTGTGCAGCAAGATCCTGCAACTGAACAACGTTGGAATATGATTGAATCTTTGTTGAGTTGAATATGTTGCCCCCATTCTGTACTAGTTGGTTTAAGGATGTTTAAGGTGTTGCAACTGTCACGGAATTTTCTTGATTGCAGTGCCAATTCGAAGATGCAAAGAACGGCGATGAAACAAGATCCTGGTCCAGAGTGGGAACCAGGCAAGCAAGGAAATTAATTACGGACTTCAATAAAGAAACTGCTCAGGGAATGGGAGCATAACTTGATCTACTTATATACCTGGCAACCACCTTGACACTGCAAAAAGTGCCAACCAAAAACATCATAGAGAATCCATCCGCACCCATCGAACATACCAAGTCGACTGCTGCAAAATCACCCGGTGATATCATGTGATATCCAGTGATCACTGTGCATATTACACAGACACCTGTGCCGTCGCTGCCGCCGCGTCCGCGAGATTGGCCACCTTCGACGTCCAGGGTGTACAGGCATGTGCCCTCCAAGCGGTCCCATAGCCTTACTTGAGCCTGGCGAGAAGTCGCTGTGCCCACCCAGTGCGAAAGAACCAGGAAGTGCTGGAGTCGTGTCAGAACCGACGGGTTTCGTTTCGTTCTTGTTCGTCTGGACCTTCAGGTCTACCACAAGCACATCCTCCCCGATCCCAGAAAGTTCCGACTCCATGAAAGCTTTGGCTACTTTTGTTTGGTTTCGCGGGCCAATGATGGTATATACGGGAAGTCGACCAAACATCATCTATATGCGCCCAGTAAGGAAGTCCCAGTCCATTTCCATACTCCCACGGAGTGTTGTCAAGTTTCGATCTCTAAACTGTTGATGAACCCAACACCCAAGCATCCTTAATCCTCAAATGATGCGCGTTGGACCGCATTACTGAGCCAAAGTTATAGGGCTACCACCACATCAAGTTTTTGGAACTGAGCTACAGTCGTTTGTCAACTTACAGGGTCCACCGATCCTGGCTGCAGCCAAGGCCTCAAAGCAAAAAAACAGGAGATCTAATATGCAAACCAATGGCGTTTCCGGCGTACGGCGTAGGACCGTACACCAAACCACCAAAAGCCTGGACCAGTTCACCTCACCCTCGTTCAAACCGATGAAACTTGAATCAAATCTTTCACAACCCACTCCCTTCCACAAACCATTTTCAGTGCCATCCAACCGTCCCTCCATGTTCCATCCCATGCCCACTTTGGACGGGATGGAAGTAGGACCCAAACCGGATGCCTGACCCCCGGGTCCACCCGTCACCGACTGGGACGAGGACCGACCCCGGTCCACCCGAACCGCTTCGCTCCAATCCGCGCTCCGCACGTCCACCCCGCCTCCTTCCCGCCGGTGGCGATGAGCGACGCGTCGGGCGACACAGTGACGGCCAGCAGCACTCCCTCGTGGCCCAGGTAGTCTCGGACCAGCTTCCTCGGGGATCAAGCAGGACCAGCTTCCGGGACCATGCGGCCCGATGGTCGGGCGCATGGACGCAGGGCTTTTTGGGAGAGAGTTCTGAGGAGACATGAGGAATCATGAGACAGCGATGACGCATGAAGAACAGAGCTCGTATAGGAACAAGTGTGCAACTGCTGCAACCAAAAGACTATGTTCCCCTCGTTGGGCTCTTCATGCCACGTCTACTGCCGAAAAGTCCGAGGTTCCAGCTGTTTCCGTCTCCAATGCAAAACCCTACACACATATGTCCCCAACCAGGACACCCATTGGAAACACTTGCTGTATAGTATGATTTCCTGGTCTGAAATGCCCTCACCAGCATCTGCCATCCAGCCGAAACCATTGGCCTCTAACACCCCACAAACAACACACAACCGACAATCACGGGTCTTCAAATGACCTAGAAACGTAAGCCAAGTAAGATCAAATTATAGATATTATATATAATACGTATTTAGTGACAATGGCAAAACGTGCAATCCACAGCTTGAAAAGGAAGGTCACCTTAGACCTGTGACTCCCTTGCTATCTTCCAGTCTTTCACAAAACCACGCAAAACCCTTGCTGGCTCAAAACGTCTTGCGCTTGACACCCCAGGCCACCAACTGAAGAATTGAAGACTCCTGAAACTTCAGACTGGTCGTCCTTTCCTCACCGGACTGGTCGTCCCGTTTCGCCCACCAACCACGCGCGCGGTCGATTCCCGCATCAGTCGCGATCTCGCCCAGCTTCATGGTCTTGAGATCCCAAAGCTTCACTTGGTGATCCCAGGACACCGTCACGAATTGGAGCGGGCTTTCTTTCGACTCTTTGGAATCAGAGGACTCATCTTTCGACGTGGAGATGGCAACTGGCACCATAGCAGTCCTAGGGAACGAGGAGGCGAGGAGAAGTACCAGATCTTCAGGGTACCAACTGACTCCTCCATGTCCCCCTGTGAATCATCGTGCTGGTCATGAAAGACACGCACAAATCGAGAAGCATACCAAAGCCGTTTTGTTCAGCGCGATTACCAGGAGCGCGAAGGTTGAACGCGCAGGTTATACCTAGAAGTCGGACGATTGGACTGTGCGGGTGCGGATGGTTGGACGCCACCACACGGGTTGCTGAGTTCAAGGCATATGAATCATATATGAGATTGACTGGGCAGGTTACATCAGCTTGCAAATGAGCATGCAAGATCATTCCACTATGTTTGAGAAAGGTCTGCCAAACAATTTGATAACTCTTTTGCAAAAAACTCGAGTCTTGCATTTCAAGACCAACTCTTCCCGGAGTAGAACGCCCCACACGCCACCCAAAGGCTCATTGGACCCTCATAGCTAGGGTTTTGACCCTCACAACTAGGGCTTCGGGGCCGAACGGGTCGCGTCTGGGCAGGGCGTGTCTAGTGGCAGCCCCATCCTCGGTGCCGGATCTATGGAGAAGAAGAAGAAGAAAGCGAGTATGGAGACCTTCCACTACCAGAAGGGCAGCTGGCGCTGGAGGATGAAAGAGAAAATAAGGGGGAAGAGGTGCAGCCCGATGGACCTGTTGGGCCTCTTGTCACCCTGAGTCCGAGCACCCCTTTGTTCACACCTCAACAGCTGCAGGAACTTCATGACCTACAAGGACAGGCCCCCCACCTCTACAAGGAAACGCGAAGTTCTTGGAGGGATGGATCGGCAGCGAAGGAAGAGGAGTGAACTGGTTGCAGGGCATTGGCATTTGGTATCGGAGGAGGCAGGACCTCGTGCTGGAATCCACCAGCGACGCGTCGTTCGCGCCTGGTGGCGGACATTCACATGGGGCAGTGATCACGCTTCTGGGCGGTTCACCAACAGCCTGGAAATCTTCTCGCCAGCCGTTTCCGGCCCTGTCAACTGCGGAGGCGGAGCTCATTGAAGTCATCGAATCAGCCATCCTCGGCGACAGTGTGAGCTGTCTAGTTGAAGAGATGGCAGGAAACATGTAAAAGATCCTCAAGTGCGACAACACAGCGGCTATTGCTTTGGGAAGCTCGGCCACTCGAGCTTGGAGGACAAGACATTTGAAGGTGAGGGCAGCACACTTGCGATGGAAGTTGGAGGCTGGATCCTGGGAACTTCAATATCAACCTGGGAAGGACCTAGTTGCCGACTTAGGCACAAAGGTGCTGGCCCCCACCCGCATGCAGAACTTGATGAGGATGATCCTTGGGATGATCCTCATGAAGGTTCTCCAGCGATGCCACCAACGCTGGAATGAGGTTGCAGGTGAGCCGATGGTGAGAGTGATGAGAACAGGGGGAACTCCTACTGGCGTGGCCGAAGAAGGGACTACAGCGAGATGGAGCCCTACTACAAGTTCGACTACGAGTGGAGAAGAAGAGGTGCTGCTCCGACAGGTGGTCGTTGGAGTGCCCACTACATCGAGGACAGCAGCAGCAGCAGCAGCGGCAGCATCGAGTAGTGAAGGGAGAACCACGTCAACATGGAGGCTTACCAAAGCCTTATGAAGAACCTCCCAACACTACGAATGCTAACCAGCTTGCTGCGCCATGTCGATGACGTGAACGACCGATCCTGGTGCTCTGGCAGGCATGGTTTGCTGAGTCAGGAATGTGCTTCCACAGAACTCCCAGTCTGTGCCGGGCTGCGAAAGGCCAGGAGGTCAGAAGCCAGAACCATCTGCCAAGCGTGCCAGCGAGGTACGCAAGGGCAGAAGCCTTTTTGGGAGACCACCTTCCTCTACAGTGATGAGGTGAGCCAGCTTCACACAGACCCTCGCTGTGGAGCTGTGTGGGGTGGCATGGTAGAGATCAGGCAGTGCAAGATCTGCAAAGACGATGCGGCTTGAGCTGAAGGCATGTTTTCATGTGAAGCGGCCATGAATGGTCGTTGATACTGGCTTGACCGAAAGGACAAGCCAGGGAGGAGTGCTGGTCATGAAAGACACGCACAAATCGAGAAGCATACCAAAGCCGTTTTGTTCAGCGCGAAAAGGAGCGCGAAGGTTGAACGGGCACATCGAATCCGACGGTCGCAATCAGATCAAAATGTTTGAGGCGATTGGAGACCCACCCGCCGAAAATACCGCATGAGATCATGAGGACTTAAGTGGACTTCACCTTAGATTTGCTGTTGAAGCCGGGGATACAAAAGATTAAAACACATGCCAGGGGAATTGATGGACGCAAGGACTTCGCCAACGAAGTGCTCCACAAATGCCAGGAAGATCAACATCACCCGATCCACCCAATCCGCAAGCCCCATGAATGAGCCATACCCGATACTTCACCAGATCCGGTCTTGCCAAAGGCCCAACCAGAAACACATGGATGTGTTCATTCAAAACAGCCCTAGCACTAGCCCTAGCCATGTTTTGTGATGTTTCCCTAGTCCCAGCCACTTGCTATGTAAAGCCAACCATTTGTTTCTGGTTTCCACGCACGTATGACGGGCGACTGAGAGATCCAGTCCGTATGAAGCTCACCTTGGGACACCGAGGCCGGAGGTTTGGGCGGAACATCTGCGGTGTCCAGGTGAAAAAGAGCGGAACATCTGCGGTAGGTGATCTGGCATGAAAACCCACAACTGGCGAAATCATCCATATTGTAGATCTAGAGTGTAACTGAGTGTAGAGTGTAGACCCCCTGGCCCAATGTGTAGACTGGTCTATTTTCCTTCTTCCAGAGGAATCCTTGGGAGGTCACCCTAGGCCCTAGTTTAATACACACCCATGTGGGCGTGTATAAAAGGTCTAAACATCGAGAGACCTCCCAGGCAACAACCCCCTGGAAGAAGGGACATCAATCCGTCTACGGCCAGGGGGTCTGAACGGAAATACCATATACTTGGTCTGAACGGAAATCGATCTCTGTCGCAGCAACGTCCTTTGGACCAATGCTTGAGACGTAGGGAGACGTAGACGTGAGCCTTCGAAAGGGATATTGGACCCTCCAAACCTTGACATACAAGCGTCTCCAATCACCTTCTCACAGGGTACGTTGATCACTGTGGATCCACAGGGTAGATATCACGCGGATCAAAACAAGGTCTGAAGACGGACATCCACGTCCGCCGACCTGGGTGTTTCATGAAGCCGATCTCTTCATTGCTAAGTACAAGTCGTGCCTGTCTTTCTGCATTTCGTGTAAACATGCCGTGTCAAGGAATGGGAGATTGGTTCCTCATCGCATACGACACATGCAAAATGCTGAAACAAAACCATGGACGTGGCCGACAAACCAAGCCCTGGTCAAGGTTGCGCGCTACGTAGCGCGTGGATGACGGGGTTCGCTGGTTCGCTCAGATTTGAGATGGTTCCAGGTTGTGAAAGGGTGAACCAAGCCCGCGGGGATCAAGAAATCATGAAACGAGCAACTCCCTGTAGCTCTTTAATGTAGACTCTTGATTAAATAAACCCCCCAACATAAAGAGGTACTCAAATCATTTCAAATCCAAATGGGGAGGGTTTATTGATCAAGAGTCTACATTACGGCTCCACGCTTTTCCCTGTAGGTATGAGAAAAGGATGGACTACGGCGATATCAATTGGATATCCACGGCCTCCTTACCTTAGCTCCCTCCTTACCAGCGACATGGTGTTTTTTGCGCTTTGGCCCGAAGCGCTTTCACACAGCGCCCAACGATGAATCCACTGCCCTTTCACACCAGCACTTTTTGCACACAGTTTCCGACAATAAGGCAATAAGGGTACCACGTTATGACTCATCCTCTTCATCCTTTTTCTATCTTTGTCCACCTATTATTGCTATTGAGTGGGGGGCTCCCCACTCCACTCACTCCATAGGACTTGCATATGATTTCGATCAATTGGGGTGGTTGAAAAGGGGCTCATGCAAGCATATACTATTCCATACATGGAGTGTCTGAAACAACTCTTTCACCCCCCGTGCAATCCATCCATTCTCCATGCCATCCCAACAGAAAACGACACGCCCAAGGTGCTCTCAAAGGTGTAGCCGCGCTGTTCATGTGAGTATTTGATTTCAGCCAAAGTGTTCCACAAATCGATTCGATTGCCTCCCACTGTGATAATCTGCCGGTTGTCCGCGCTGAACGCCACCTCGAGAAAGGTCCGCGCTGGCGGGAACTTGAAGTACTTGGGGTATGGCAACGCGTGAATCTTTGAGAACCTGTTGGGGTGGCACTTGGTCTTGCTTGGATTGCTGACCCCCCGTTAAATTCTATCTTCTGGATTCTGAATCCCGAGCAACCATATATTTCATGTTACTAATTGAGGCCTTTAGACTACAATGTGACTACAAAACCAGGGCAACCATGTTGGAAGTGTCTTAGAAGGCCAGGGTTGCTGGCCCGTCTGGTAGGATCTGACCTTCGGATCCCACCGAACTCTGACGATTCTCATGTGACCAGTCTTGAAGGGTGCATCATCTGAGGCTCCCGAAAAAACCCTCGACCTGCGCTTCGTCTCGGGGACGGACGGACGAGACGGGGACGGACGGACGAGACGGGGACGGGCGCGAGGGACGTTGCGAGGCCCGGATGGACGAGGGGGTTCCTACAAAGGAGATACGGCATACGAGAGGGACGGTGGGAGGGGGGCGCCAAGGCGCCAAGGCGGGAGAAGATAGATTGGGCATTCAGCCGGGCATTGGGGATTCATCCAGTTCGGCCCAGTTTGCGACATCAACATCACCCTAAGCCTCCCCAGGCGCCAGGAGATTCACCCAGAGGCTCCCTCACGGCCAGGGTTTGTCACCTCAAACATGTAGCAGCTTGAGGGTCCATGAGCCTCTGGGTGGGAATTCATCAGACCATTGGGGATTCACCCAGGCCACCGCAAAACCCAATCCGCAAAACCCGGTTGGTTTTTGCGGATCAAAGGTCTCCCGTGGGGCGCGATCGCATGCTGCAATTCCCCCTTCAAAGGATGCAGTGCTTCGAACGAGTTCACCCCTTTGGCGTTTGTTTGCGTTTGGGTGCTTTGGGTGCGCTTGCTGGCGCTCCAAATGGCCGTTTGAGATGCCCACGTTTTGATGGGCGAGGAAAGAGCACGATGCCGGTGCCCCTGTCATGCAGCCACCAGCGGCCACTGGCGAGCGGGTGAGCTCAAACAACCACTGGCGGCCCGATCTTGCGCGAGAGTCTCTGGCAGAAAATAGGCTCCCGCGGGCGAAACAAAACGTTCATCAATAAGGTCTACCTGTTCTTATTGCTCAGTGGGGAAGCCCAATTCCCCCCCAATTCCATGGTTTTCCCTGCAGGTGATCCACTGAACTCTCCTGGGTGTGTGGCACCCAGGTGTCCCATCCCAATTCCACCAAGGTGGCTGACCTTCAGCCAAAACCAGGTACTTCTTGGGATCCTTGAGACCCACGTTGGACCAAACCAGTCACACTGTGCCCAGTCACACTGTTGCACTGCTTCCTGGTCCTCGAAATGGACGAGGTTTCGAAAAGCGCGGGAAGCACATGAACAAAGGGATGATCCTTCTCTGACCCCATCAGTTTCTCTTTATCCATTAACCGGTAGGTTTGAGCAGGCGGAGCAATGGTCGCATTCAATGAAGCATGTCCAACATAAAGCCGGGTGTCATGGGTCATCTGCAGGTCCTTTCTCTCATCATCTGTAAGCCACTGAAATTGATTGGGCCCCTGCCCTGCATCTTACAGGTACATATATAAATACAAATGAATACTATATAAATACTCTAGACATCTCTAGATACTCTGAGTCGTTGATCATCCCACCCTTGTTGGGCTCCAAGCCAGGCACCGGACGACCGGATGACCGGTCACGCGATCCGCCCGTGTCCAGCATGGTCATTGAAAGGTTGCAACGAATAACGGCATATGATGTGCGTATGTGCATGTATATATGTATATACACATCAGAACACCCAAGCCTTTTAAGACCATTAATGTACTAAAAGTTGACCTGGTCTTAAATGGAGTAGGAGTGTCGAATCCACAGTGGACCAGGAACCGGATATATTTGGAGGAACTTGTAGCTTGGATAGCTTTAATCCCTATGCATGAGTGTTGTGGGTTGGAGGGGTGCCCGTTGCTTCCTACGCAAGTTGAAGAACATCCTGCACCACCTGAGGTATCCTGAGGTAGGGATAACATGGGAGAACCACCACCAATCTCTGCAGTTTTTTCCTGGTGTGTGTAGCTCCAGTTATCAATACGGCGACAATAAACTCTGACGAGCATGGACCAAGTGGCTGGCATCCCTTGGAAGACGACTTTCCTTCACCAATTTGGGGGTGAATTCCACTTCCAGTGATTTCGTTCATCACTCAGTCAGAACGAGAAACACCACCAGCAGCGCCAGGGTTCCAGGTCGGAATGTATTTTTTGGGGTAACTCCATGAAAATGCTGGCACCGATCTTCGTTCACCGCCGAAGAGCTTGCCATCATGCACCTCCTCACCCTCAACCAAATACCAGACCCGCATGGCACGATCCCAACCACAGGAGACAGCGAATTGGCCATCCTTGGAGAGCCTGAGGTGAGCTTTGCATTGCAAGCATGAAAGTAACAAAGGTGAAGAAATATAGCGGACACTCTAGGCACCCCCAGAAAACAAAGTCTTTTTATATAGTTTAAGCCTGCTCTCTACCGCTATCTGGGAATTCCATGAAGTAGTTCGTGCCGCCCCACGTAGCCCGATAAACAGTAGGTCATGCGGCATGCGGCTTTCTTTAACAAACGCAAAGATTTACCACAAGTCCACAAGCAAAGAACGGTGTTCCTTTTGGGATTGTTAAACCTCGTCGCCTAGTGCCTTTGATAAATGTGATTATGTATCATGTATCTACCTGGACCTTCAATTGGGTGTCCAATGGAGATCCCTATAGGTAGTGTAGGGGCTTCCAGCCAGGTGACCTATACACCCTAAGAATCCGAGTCCGGGCCCTCGGTGTTCGGGGACCGACACTCCACCGTTGACCGAAACGGGCTCTGGACCAGAGTCCTTGTGGGTAAGGGGGCTGGCGAAAGCTAGGGCAGCTAGGGGAAGAAGCAGCGCTGGGGCCTGTTTTGCAGCAGAGCCCAGGCCGGGAGTTGCAACATATCATGGCCAAGGGCAAAGGAGGAGAGTGCCAACAGTGCCCTCCCCGATACAACCCCAACATAGGCAACACACAACCACCCCAGCAACAGCAGCAGCAGGCAGCAGCAGCAGCAAAACAGCACCGAAGAGCAGCAAATGCACGATTGACCAACACCGACAGGTATAACTCGGTATAACAAACAGTGAACAATCACAGCTGGGATCTCAAAAAAGTGTTTTCTGTTGGTGTAATGGTGTAAACCGTGATTTGGTGTAAGCCGTGGTTGGCGTAGACCGTGGTTGATGTAAACGGTAACTATAGTGTAAATTGTGCTTTGCTGTAAGCTGTGCTTGGTTGGTGTAGACCGTGGCTTGGTGTAAACGGTGGTTGGTGCAAATTCTTTAACGAATCAGCTATGACCAGGTATGACCAAGCCCAAACACTCCATGGGACTGCCATAGGACTGCCGCCCCATTGACCCCCGGCCACCACCACCCCAACTGATCAGCAGTCCTATGGCAGTACATTGACCCCCTGGCACCACCCCAATGTAAGCATATATGGCAGTCCCAAACGGGTCGTGTCTGGGAAGTCTGGCCAATTTCTTTGGGCCCAAACCAACCTTCTTCCAGATCCATCCGGCTCCTTCCGCTCCTTCGCCCCGCTCCGTCAGGAGACTTGCAATCCGAGACGGTGTCCGTGTGACCTTTCAGGACCGCCTGGTCGACCGGAGCGGGGATCGCCCTCCAACGGCTTCACGGTGGAAGGACGACCTAGAGACCCCGTTGGACCGCGGGAGGAACCCTGCAGAGGGTTCCCGGAAACGTCGGACCACGGGAGAGCTGTGTTTCAGCGGACGGTGTCAGGTGGTTTCTGGGTCTGGCCGCATTCTGATGTTGTTTTGGGGGTCACCAAGAAGTCCGGTCGGTCACCCATGTTTGGGGTCAATCCCTGAAACTTGGCTTCGTATGTTAAATCAGAGTAGACTAGTCTATTTTCCTTCCGATCATTTCAGGGGTGTGTGCGATGATTTCAGGGCTGTGTAGCGGTTTTCCCACTGGTCTTCCCAACGAAAGGACCGAACCTTGTAGCTGTTCATGTTTCGTGGTCTCAGCGGGCCGGTGGCACAATTCCCCCCCCTCCCTTTTTGGGGTCGGTGGTTAAACTCGGGTTTGTGCCATCTACGGTGAACACCGCTGCATGAGGTTATTTCAGAAACCCATGAATTCCCCCAATTCGTCATCAAGCAACTCCAAGCCCCGCTTAAGGCTAAGCTGCAGACTCTGGGACTCCAACAGACAGTCTCAACCAAAGATACCCTCCTACAAACGACCACATGGAGTCTCAAAACCACTGAGTTCTAGAGGAACATGGTCTATATCTCTTCCACAGGGTCATTTTAAGGGTCCATGGAATCCTCTGCCAAACGGTACCTATAACATACAAATCACGCACAAAACAACATGTTGTTTTCGTACATCTCCCAGCACCACCCTAAATTGGGCGCTGGTAGATCCCCATGTGCTGGTAGATCCTCACTTCACAGCAATTCTGACAGGCCACCTTCGGCTGGATCTCTTGCCCATGGAAGTCAGGCCTTGAAGTCCGGTCCCCCTCTCAGTCACGGCTGGGTGGCGGGATGGTGAAGGAGTTTGGTGCGTCCAACAGGGGTTGAAGAACCCTTTTTGGGCTATCCCATAGGTGCCCTGGTAGGGTCCTAGAAGGTCACTTAACCTCTGTTGGGCTGCCTGGCAAAAGGACTTCTCTCTCTCTCTCTCTCCATCGCCAGAAGTTTTCGGACAGCTCTTCGGGCAAGCGCTTTAGGCCCCCTCGTCAGCATGGCAGGTCAGCCGAGCATGGCTCAGCTATTCATCTGCTTCTTATTTTTTACATTTGGCCATACATTGAAGATGCAGAATCACCAGAAACCTGTCTCCTTGAAGTCCAGCTTTGCATACTAGACCTCCAGGCAGCCTCCACATCCCCTCACGGAAGCGTCGAAGGGTTTGGAACACGGGCCGCCCGTGTTTCGACGACGGAGCACAGCCCACGACTCGACTCGGGGTGTCGACTTCGGGGCGGTGAAGCTCTGCACCGAAACGAAGGTGCTGGGCCCTCCAGGCCGAAAAACAGGTCTCCAATATTCCACCCAGAGGGTATGATGATGGGCTTCCCAAGCTGCGCGGTTGGTGGCCTTTTACGAACTCTGCGCTGTGTGGGCTCCTTTTACCCCCGAGGACATCCGTGGACGAGGTTTTAAAGGATTATATAATTGACTGATGTAGTTTTCAGGTTCTTTCAGGCCTGAGGTCTCTCATCCTGCCAAGAAACAAGTGCCACTGCCTGAGTGTACCATCTCTGGAGGAGGACAACCTGACATCCAAAGCTGGCTGTGCTGGCGCTTCGCAGCCACCCGTGCCATGAGTAATCCATAGTAATCCCAGTTGGTGTTTCATGATCATCAGCTTCCGAGCTGAATTCAGCAGCTGAATCATGCCCAAATTTCGGGCCAAATCACGAGAGATCGATTTTTCAAAGCAGGCAAGGCCACGGCCGTTTTTTGAATTCTGGACCTGTCGACAGGTTCACCGAAGCTTCCACCTCTTCTTGTGGAGAAACCAGTTTTTCATATGTTTTCAAGAAAGGTTTTGGAGATGCACTGAACTCCTGAGATAGGTTTCGGAACTGCATGATGTAATTCACATTCCTTTGAAAAGGGCCCCGGTTCTTTCAGGATCGCCGAGGGGCATGATGTCCGGGGCATCCGGCGTCGTGGCCAAGCTGGTCACCCAGGTCTCATGGCGACCTAAGGTGCCTTCCTGAGCATGGCAGGCGGCTGTCATCGGGTCTCCTTCCCACTGGCAGCCCCAGCCAGGTAAAACTCTATTTCCGTGACAATCTCGTCCTTCTCACGGGGTGCCCAAGAAAATCCCAGGCAGTTCTTGAACAAACAGCACTTGATCTGGCTCCTCCTCGACGATAAAACTGTCCGGTGACCCCCTGCTGGCAAATATATAAACCCTCCTACACCTGAAAAAACAATCTTCACATGTCTTTTTCATAACATTTCATAACGACATTAACTGACTGACCCTGGTGTTAAACCCTGCAGTCACTTACCCTCAAAGACCCTCAGTTAGGAAGCGCAGCCCTCGGCCCTACCCAAAAAAGCTGTTTAACTTGCACTGAGGACCAGCCACTTGCTGGGCAAGTGGTTCCTTTCCCTGACCTCGCAAACCTAACTGCGGGGTGTTATTCCTGGATTTGCTTGAAGAACCTGGAAAAATATTCACCGGAAGGGAACTTAACCATAAGTAAAACAAGAATCAATAAAAATTGGTTAGCTTAAGAACCCTCCAAAACAAAAACAACAACTCACATACACTCCGACGAACATGGGAGCGAAGAGGTCTTTTGTCCACTTGCATGTTCGAGTCGGTCTACGGTAACTGGCCAGAAAAACCATGATGAGGTTGACCTCTCAAGGACCCGGTTATAGTTATTGGAACCTGGGAGTCGCAATGGCTGGTGGGGCACGATGAGCCCCCAATTCCAGCAAGATGAGCTTTTGCAAGTTCTGCGGTTGGTTGGTCCCACCCTTAATTAATAAGGTCATGCAGTCATGCAGTCAACATTGACCTCGCTTTAGCCGCTAAGCCTTAATGAAAGGAGCTGCTTCATTCATCTATTGCAATCGCAATTTACAAGCTGTCTGTGGCCGCTCTGAACCTGTATCCCCCGTGTTGGATGATGATACCTGCAGGAAACACTCCTAGATCCGCAACCGCAACCTCGACCTTTGTCTGCTTGCAGGTTTCCAATCCACCTAAAGAATCTAGCCACTGGTCAGTGGGATCAACAATCCCGTGGAAGTGGGATCAACAATCCCGTGGAAGTGGGATCAACAAGCCCCGTGGGAAGTGGCTCCTTCACCGACTGGTCCAACAGGGGGTGGACTCAACTTCCATGTGTTGAAGTCAGCTACTAGCTGTTCTTGTTCTTTCGCTTTCACTATCTTTTGCTGGTGCTGATGACCGTGGCGGATTCGTAGGCGCCAAGCTACTACATTGAGGCCATGAGGCCATGAGGTAGAGTTTCACATTGAACCAACATACTGGAACCAAGGGTAGTTGTCCTGCATGGCTCATGCGCAGAAGGCCACCAAATTTTGGAGCTTGGCACCAAAGCACCAAACCCTCACCCTGGCACCTGCACACGAAGCTCCGATGGTTCACAGTTGACGCTCGTGTTCCCACCCCGTGGGGTCTGCGTGCAGTGCCCAGCGTCCAAATGGAACTTGGCACTCTCCAGCATAGCGTTCAGAAACGGGGGTTCAAGAGGCTGTGATTTTCTAAGAAGCACCTCAACATGCAGCGACTGGCGACTGCGTGCTATTTCCAGCGCCTTCCGGGTCATGGTACATATTGTGCACTCAGTCGGACTGGAGTGAGGGGTACGTTCATAGATTCATAGTCATACCTGCGATCCGTTCAGGTCTTGATGTCAGCACCGCCCAGCTCAAGCGCCAGGAAAAGAGATAAGAGTCTTAAGGCCCTACCCGAACCTTCCAAGACCATGACAAGAAAGGTTGCTCTTGTTTTGTAGTGCAAGATCCTTAGCAGTCCTTAGTACAAGGATCATGTACAAACAATGGTTGTTTGGTATATAAAGGCTCTTGAAGCAACGGGCCAGGAATCCTCTGGTATTGTTCTATCAATCCGGGGGTATCTCAGAAAGAGCAATGGCGTTGCCATCTAGGCCAAATGAACACCAAGGTGTGTGATAGTGATGGTCACTCAAGCAAGATTGTTGGTGATCTCCCACGTTGACCAAGCATACAACCAACCCATAGGAGCTGCAAGTGATTCGAACGATGGGTGAGAGGTGACCGACGTGAGCCGAGCCGGCTCTCCACCAACGTGATTTCAATGAAACCGACCACGGGCCGGTCAGTGGGGTGTTTTTGGTCGGATGTTAGTGGTCTTTGAGAAGCAAAGAATGCTGAAGCCAAGATGGCTGCATGGAAGGAAGCGATAACTGCAAACCGCCCTCTGGTCAAAATGAAAAAACAAAGGGTCCCGAAAGCATGGACCTCAACAAACATGAAAACCCTCAACAAAAAGGGAAACATACACCGACCGGTGTTCCGTGCGGTTCCGGGGTGGTCCTCCACCCTGGCGAGCCTCCACCCCGACAGCCACCCACGATGTCACAGCTGGACTCCAAACGATCTCATTGATGAACTGCCACAGAACTCTCTAAAACTCCCCATGGATGAAGAGGCTTTGCCATCTCAAAGGATGTTTCTTTCAAGAGTCTACATGACCTTCCACATGACCATTCCCTTTATCACCAAGCTTGCAGGTTGCCCACATCCGGAGTGAAAATCCGTGTCCCCGTCCGATGTGACACCCCGAACCCCTCAAAGCATGGGCCTGTCGTTCCACCCGCACGGTCTCCTCGCTGCGGCGGCGGTCTCCGGCACGTGCGGCAGCGGTCTCCGAGGGGCTGCAAAAACCGCGGGGTCTCGGGCAATTTCAATCATTAGGCTGCGAAAACTTCGATGTCGTGGATTACATTGCCCCCGAAACACGAAAAGAAAGTGCAAGTACAATGCCCGCTAATTGTGAATGATGATTCGAGCACCTGGAATTCATGTCCAAGGTATTCCAAGGTTGGTCATGCAAAATGTTTACGCACCTTGGGCTTCACACTCACAAATTAAAACTTAAAAGACACATTGGCAGTGACCAACGGTGGTTGCAACTCAAATCCCTCACAAGCACAGGTTTGGAAAATGGCCCGGACTCAGTCTTGTTTCAATAGATAAACAAACTTAAATTTAATCCTTTATACAGTATATATGTGCAATTATGCACGTGCTTTTTTACCCAACTCTTAGCTCAAGTGCCCCATGGACCTCGAGGATTTTTTCCCCGAGTTCTCATATGGCGGACATGGCTCGAAAAGCCGGGACCGCCAACACCAGCATGGACACCGGCTTCGTTCAGCAAACACGACCTGTCTATATATAATTAAATAATTATACCCTCATCTTCAACTACTAAAGTAAACTCCGTCGCGAATGCGTACTAACTTTAATCTAGGGTAAATAGCGGTGCATAATTCGCTACTAAGTTTACTCGAGGTAAGTAGCGGTGCATAATTCGCTACTAAGTTTACTCGAGGTGATCGAGATGATTGCATTACGCTGTTACTGGTTTTTGAACGTACTTAATATAACTATCCTAGAGTGAATTTCGTATCTTCTGAGATCCTAGGGTTACCAATGTAGTTCTACTTCGAAGCTCTGGGTAGATATACATATGCATGTATATCATTACAAATATATATATATATATGATATATCTTTGATTATCTGTGTAAACACACAAACATACGTATATATATACATATAATAATATATATTCGTATACCGACGCAAATATATACCCCAATTGACAGAAACCAGGATTCTGTGGGAAATCTGCTAGCTGCTAACACTGCTAAAGCCAGCCGTGGCAACAGCCTGTAGTTGTTCATCCACCGCTCCTCCATCCGAACAGTCTTCTGCTCCTCCTCAATGATGGCCTTGAAAAGGGGAAGGGGCGAAAATGGAGCTGGAGCTGGTGGGACAATGATGGCATGCCTGGACCCCTGGCTGGATGGGACATGGGACGACCCAGGTCTCTTGATACAAGCAAACTCTGTAGGGCTCGGACCAGTCCGGAACGCGAAGGGTCCGGTGACCGGTTGGGCTGAACCGGTTCGGGCATGGTGACTCCGTGGAACCACCCATGGATGGCTTGGCAGCCGCGGGGTTGGCTCGGACAGGTGGTTTTTACATGTTTTTACTGTCCACTTCGTCAGTTCCCGGAAGTGTGTCAGAAGGATTTCCACCCACCATGCCTGGTCCCATCCTCGCCATGCCGCTCGGTTCCGCTCGCAACACTGGGTCATTTCTCGCAAACCTGCGTCCCGCGCGAGGCCCTGCGACGTGGCAAAGCGGCTTCGCCCGGCCTGTTTTCCCAGTAAGGAGCTCTTCAGCTCCAAGACGTGGCGCTTCGATTGGTCAATGTCTTGCGCGATGATCTGCACGTAGGGAGGACAGGAAGTTGGACACCATGGCTGTCATGGGATGTCCAGCATTGTGGAAGACTTTGGATCTCCAATCTGGAAAGCCTGGGAACATGGACCAAACATGGACCAAGCACCTGCAGGTTTATTCTGTTCATATTCAATGTGACCTTGTTGGATAGCTAGCTGTGTTGTTAATTCTGGGGATCACAAACAAGCATAAACAACAGTTGCTGAGATCTTGCCGTTCAGAAACCATATGAATTCTCGTTGGTGGTTTTAATCCTCTGCCCCTGCAAAGTGCATAGCGACCTCGCTTGGCCTCCCTGTCCGGGCACGGGCGTGTATATATATATATATACTGTATATGAAGACCTGCACAACTATACAAAAAGTGGCCACACGATGCAATGTACACGTAACGCATTATCTTGATGAAACGAAGAGGTTTGGCCATCCCAAATGGGGGAGTTTGATGAATCAAGAGTCTACATTAGCTCTCTAGTTAGTTGAAGAAAAACCCTTGAGCTCTCTGAAACCACGCTGGCTTGTTTTTTTTCACACCAGGACGGGTCACCCTCTTGGAGGGGGCCATCATGACCTTTCATAAGTACCATCAACAACTTCCCTCACCGCGGGGAAGGAGAAGGTCGCAAACACCAGTGGGACACCCCCCGATCTTCCAGAAGCGCCCATCATGGAAACACGAGGAAACAAGGATGGATAGTAAGATAGCATGCAAATGGTTCAAGCCCCATTGGCACGGGGCGTGA